TAGCAAGATCTAGAATTGTATTTCTTTTAGGAGCAAGGTTCTGTAATTATTAGCGAGGGCCGAAATAAGCCCAGTAAAATTGTTGGGCCGTCGTACAGCAACAAAAAATCTAACAGCCCTTCGAATACTGATGGGATAACCATTCCAACGACCAGCAGGCAGCTTTGCGCGGGCAGCCGTACCTCTCGCCGCCGGCGATAACCACCGACGAAAGGGTCAGATCCCCCAGCTCCTTCCCCGCACATGTACGACTTTCTATCTGCAGCCCGTCCTCTGGCCCAACTCCTCATCCCTCTCCACTCTCCTGCTGGCCGCTCAGGCAGCGGGAGTACGAGTAGCCCGCTGGTCGACGTCGCCCGCCCCGCGTCAGGCTGGGTCCGCTCGGCATTCCCTCTTGCTTCGTCCCGAGGGACTGCTTGTGCGCTTCCGCCGTAATCTCCATGCAACTCAAGGTTCCTGGATGCTAGAGCTTAGGGGCGGCGCGTTATAGGTGACGGAGTTGTCTTCCTATCTTATTGCTGTCAAGGTGCTCGATGGAATGCTGCTGAGGTGAATGAGTGCGTTGTTTTGGTAAAAAAAAATGATGCTAATCCCTTCACATATCACACCATCTGACATAAAAATGCCTCCTACTCCTTAAGCTGCTCTATTTCTGATTTGCAGCCATACTTGAAATGCTTGCTATATTCGTATCAATTTGCAGCCATACTCTTCTAGGTCGCGAATCCTGCTAGAAATTTCTGATCAATGTTTTAGGTTTGAGACAATGTCACTCGGTACACTTTCATTTCATCCAATAGCTATCATCGGTTTCAAGTATGCAATTTAGACCTGTGGTAGGTCACATAGGCAGAAGCCATGTTTTACCCAATCCAATTATTTTTAGTTCTTGTTCCAAAACATTCCTTAAAAAATACTCCATCCGTTCCAAATTGTAAGTTATTTTGGCTTTTCTAGATTCATAGTTTTTACTATGTATCTAGACATAGTGTATATCTAGGTACATAGCAACTATAAAAGCCAAAACGATTTACAATTTGAAACAGAGGGAGTATTGTAGTGGACTTGTCAAGAATGACAGCAGAAACTCAAAAGCACCAGGCTTGGGTTTTAAAAAGAACTACTAATAACATAGAAAATGCATATTGTTGCTTACACCATCGTTTTATGTTCAGCGCTTCTATAGAGATGATTGTACATTCAAACCTCACTTTTCTGTATTTTATTTCCTAACTTTGTATTGCAACTTGCTGCCAATACCTTTGCTGTGTGTTTCTTTTTAAACTGTAGCTCAAGAATATAGTTAGTGACTATAAACGGTACCCCATCCCACAGGAAAGTATAGAATTATGTCATTTGTGTTCTGTCCAAACTACATGTGACTAGCAATCTGATCTTTGTGTGATTGTATCCTCCAATTTTTTTAAGATTGCTAATTCTCCCCCAAACTGAAAAATACTGTTCCACATAGGACGTGGTTTCTGTAGATGCTTCAAAGCACATCTCAAGTTACATAAAACTAGGAACACGTCTAATGCTTGGATGGAATTTCTAAGAGATATCAAACCTCTTGTTTCATAAACAAATACTATCACTATACATTTCTGGATGTTGGAGCAATTCTCAACTTGCTTTCTTTATCTGAGGTATTCATATGGCAGCCAAAGTAACCTTTGACAAGAAAATGTGATTTCTTCCCAATGGTTCATATAATGAGATATCTGTAAAGTAATCTGCTGCTCTCTCTCTCTCAGACGCTGGCAAGGGGGCAAAGCGCGCCGAAAGGCTCTCCCACTGCAAGATCAGAGTGGCGGCAGGGCAGACGCCGAAAGGCTCCCCTGCCAGACTATAGCCACAAAGAGGGGGCGTACGCCAAAATCAGCCCCTCATCACACATCTAGCCACCAGAGCGATCTCGCATGTCTGCTACTAGGATTAGATTAGATGCAGAGTTAATATATATAGCTTCCCACTGCAACTCAGTAAAGGGGGAGAGTTCAGTTTTGCCATCTTCTCTGCAGAGCTCCCGCTAACGCTGGTGCTTGTGTTGTGTGTGCGCGCGCTCTGTTCTTCCTTCCTCTTCTACCTCCAGCCGTAGTGTGTGTGCGAGAACGCCGGTGAGCGATCGGCTCACCCGTGCGGGAGATCCCGGGCCCTACAATATCATCAGGCAAAGGTTGCATATTTCCTGTTATATCTTTAGCTGCTGAGCACAGGTCTCCTGGACAATGTCAGTCCTCTCCATTCGTGGTTTCTGACTGGAAATGCTTAACCTCCTGGTGTTTTTGAATCTTGTTTCTGAAACCTATTGCTACAACAACAGAGAAACATCCTGTTGCCATCACAGACAGAGACAGTACTCCATGCTGTTATCAATTGTCAGGTTTCACTGTACTACAAGTCTCTGTTTTTATGGCATGTATGATGGCAAGTATTCCATGCCACTGGCAAACAGGTCACGTATCCTCTGGATCAGGCTTTTGGTTTCAGATTTCGTATTGGTGCCGTCCGGACGTCCCATTTGTGTAATAAGAGACGTCCCAATGGGTCTGCCCATTATGTATTGATAGATACTATGTTACGTGCTAGATCATATTTTCTGTTATTCTTTCATAGTATTTTGGAAATTTTCCCAGACCTAGTTCTAACCTATGTACAACAGTTTTTATCTTGCATGTGGGCTCCTGCGGCGCCTGCTAGCTCATTGACACATGGCCCATGGCACTGCAACCGCAAATGTTACTTAGCAGTCAGAGCAGCAGTGTGTGGGCTGTCTGAAGCCTGCAAACTTGTTAGTTCTATCTAGCGGCCCATTTTTACTGTCATTTTACAGTTGTCGGTTGGCATCATCTTCTCTCTTTTATCAGCAGCTTCATCTTGAGTGCAAAAGGTTTAGTAGCTAGCATACTTGCTGATCACATTTCCATTGCTCATTTGCTGTCGGCAGATTAATTCAGCACTGTGTCCCTACTTGAAGCCGCTATCAAGTCCAGTGGCGGACCCAGAATTCGCCCAAGACTAGGGCCAAATTGTGGCGGCCAAAGCCCAAAAATGACACCATAGTCTGTAAACTCTATATGGCCCATCGTCCACTACCATGTCCTCGGTAACAACTCCTAACTTGGAGAACATGAAAATGTTATTAATAAGAAAAGGCCAAAAGGGGCAAGCAAATTATTAAACTTATTTAAAGTTGAGACTTGTTACTGTGCTTGGGGGTTCCTCCCTAAACAAAAATTGCCAGCTGTTGATTATGAAAAATAATAATTAATTATCATTATGGGTGATTTAGTACTTTAGTCTCTAAGTGTCACGGTTCTTTCCATCTCCCTGTATCGCGGCCCCCACCTGCACCTGGTGGCTGCCACCGCCTCCCTGGGTGGCTGGGTCATCACTGCCCACGTGGGCTTGTAGTACGGGTGCGGGCGCGCGTCGCCATTGCCGGCTTCCTAGTCCTCAACGTCATCTGGAGCATGACGAGCGTGTGAGGCGGCTGAAGGTAGCCTCATCCATGGTGAAGCGGATTCACGATGACGTCGCAGATTCAATTCCACCCTCACCGGCATCACCACGCCAGTCGTATATCGTCCGCGCGTGCCTCGCAGTGCCACCCGCCGTGCTGCGCTGCCGACCATCCGCCCGCCACTGCTGCTCCCACGCCAACGCTCGCTGCGTATGCAGCCTCCGGAGAAATTCAACAGAGCTCGGGATCTCGCCAACCTCAACACGCTTTTCTTACAGGTGAACGGGCTCGCCGGCGCACGACCGTGGCATGACCCCACGTCCTTCTGCGCCAGCCACCGCTCCTCGCCAGGCGCCTCCACACGCCTCGCTACCACCGGGAGTAGCTCCGAGCTTCGGCGTCAGGCGCGCCCACCTATCCTCCTGCCCATACTCCACGCCTCCTGCTTCGCCGCCTCCCAGGGCAAAGTGTAGCCGCTATTTGGCCCGCTACGTTGGCTCCGTGGCTCGTGCTCTTGTCGCATGCGGTAGAACCGCAGAAGATGGACGGGTGAGCATCAGTAGGGGTGCATTAGGCATCACAGGTGACATTGGTTCGCCGGCCGCCATGACAGAAAAGCCTCGCACCCATGAAATTACTATTGTATCAAACAAATTTAACTTAACGTTGGTTCCTGGCCCACTCAGTCCACGACTTAAGCTCTTTTGAATTGGTTTCTCCTAATTTTAAACCATTAGATCTATCTGAATGGACAACTCTTATTATCTCCAAGCACCTTAAAATTCTATTTAAAGTTATGTATTTGTATCTTGCATGCAACATACCAGAAGTATTGCTACTAGGTAGTGTAGGTATCATGTTCTTTCGGGTCTATAATTCTTGAAAAGGACGTAAGAATGTAAATGCAAAAGTTACAGTTTGCAAAGGGTCGAAATTCAGAACTTGGAATAAAAATTAGTAGAGAAAATCAAGAGTGATACCTTCCAATTCTAGATCCAATCAAAATCAACTAAACAAACAAGGGCTGCTGCTGCTCCCTGTTCCTGTTCTGTTCGCCTGGATGCCTGCTCCCTGCTCCTGCTTGGCTGGCCAGCGGGCAGCGGCCCCTGGCCGCCTGGCAGCCGAGTGGGGCGCTAGGGCTGGGCAGCAGTCGGCGGGCCAGCCGGCGACCTACCGAGGGGCGAGGGGCGAGGGCCAAGCCGCCGAGGCCGAGCGGAGGGGGAGCGCAAAGCGGAGCACAGAGCGACGGAGGCCGGAGCCCGGAGGGGGCGACCGGTAACGGGCAGAGGGGACGACCGGCGACGAGCGGAGGCGGAGCGCAGAGCGGCGTGCGGTGCGACTCCAGTGTCCAGTCCAAACGAGCGAGGCGGTGCGACTCCGACGCGCTCGCGCGAGCGCTGCCCCTGCCTTCGCCGTTCGGTTGAACTCCTTTGTTGGGCTGGTGTCTCATGGGCCAAAAAAACTGAAGAACTGCTCCCTTGTTACTTGGGCTACGACTAGGGTCATGGCCCAAGTTGCCCTAGTGCTGGGTCCACCCATGGCCACGACTAGGGCCATGGCCCAAGTTGGGTCCGCCCATGATCAAGTCCAAGTTGCTGCAGAAGGGAGCAAGCAAAGGGAGATGAAGTTCAGAGTCGTGTGCAGGAAGCTGTATGACTACGTGCGGTACGACCTCAAGGAGATCGCCTTCCCGTCGTCGCTGCCGGACCCTCCTCACATCAAGAAGCGGCCCAAGCTGACATGGCATGAACACTGGTGCATCCTCAAGGAGGCCACCCGGCTGTACGCTGCGTCATGGGTCCGGGACATCGGCCCCGACCTCAGGCCCAACGACTACAAGAAGGCAGCCGAGGACGAGGAGCAGTCGTCCAATGGCAGCCCCAGCTCTGGCACTGACAAGAAGTGGAAAGCGAGCAGCGAGCCAAGTTTGCTGGAGGACCTCGCTGTTGCCGCTAGGGGCGGCGCGGAGACGCTGAAGCCTGCTCTGCGGCGGATCTACATGACCCGCGCGTCCACGTACACCGACGCGATGAAGAATTTCGTAGAGACGTACCAGGAGGGGCTCAAGGACCAGCTGCAGGAGAAGGCTGATGGTGGAGAAGGTGGTGGTGGTGGTGGTGGTGGTCGTCAGCTGCAGCAGGGCGATGAGGCATCAAAGCCACCGGCACCATGACATCATGGCAGTGTTGTTCTGCAAGTGACGGCATCAAGTACTTATTTCAGTTCATCCACCCAAAGTAGAACAAGATGGTTTGGCTAGCACTGTAGAGTGCGGACCCGGCCTGTTGGTGTTGGGTGTGGCACTGCAGGAGTACTTGAGAAGGATCTCCAGTTTTGCCTGATTTATTTCTACCAATCTCAATTCTCAATCTGGGTCCTGCCGAACTATTTTACCTGTTCGCTTCGCTGAAAAAACAAGCAAAAATACTGTTCCGGCTAATTTATTGTTAGAGAAAAACACTGTTCCGACGGAAATAAAGGAGCTGAAAAATACGGATTATAAGAGAAGCGAAACAAGGTCTGATGTGTGATCCTCGTTGCTCTCCAGCCTGTTCCTATTTGCTGATTGGAACGTGTTTTTGCTTGTGCTTCTCTTGTTTTGCTTATCTTTGGCGTCTGCCTTGTACACTGGCCAGAGGTATTAAGAAGAAAAGGACGTCATAATAAGGGATTAAACAAGGCGTGAATAAACTCATGGCTTCATGTGTATATTTCAGTACGTACTCTCTACGGTTCCAAAATCTAGTTTCGAGTATGAATTTCTATTATAATATACACAAATAAATAATTTTATTAAAGTACTTTTTTTAAAATTTATTTATTCATCCATGATATCTTGGTGTGTTCATACTAAGTATTTTATAAGTTATTGATAGTCAAGCTTCTAAAAGTTTGGCCTCGACCTTGTAAATAACGACAAGATTTATGGTACTGGAGGAAGTATCCTCATTTTCCGTTCCAACTACATTATCCAAAATCCAAAATACCTCAGGGCTTACAAATAAGACAAGGAATCATCTCCAATTACTGTAGACTCTAGTAGGTAAGCTTAGATGAGTGGATATCTGCTTCCCTCTCCCTCTCAACAGGACATTACATGGTATTCTGGTTGGTACGATTACTAGCAGAAAGAAGAATTTTCAGGACAGAGCCTACTTTTGTTTGACAAATTCTACACGCTTGATGTACATTAGCAATAATTATGGCCTGTGAACTGAAGCAGTTAGTTGGTTGTGTGGTCGGGGGTTTTTTTTTTTTGGAGCATTGGTTAAGCGAAAACGATGGTCACTGTATTGTGCTGAGGAAAATGAAAATGGTGGATCAGGAGCAAGAATGCTGCTGGTATATGCTCTGCTCTGTTCTAACTGCCGTCAGCCATTTATATCAGCTAGTGCGTGGCCGTGCACTACGTCATGTTGGTGCACGGGCAGTACCCATTCCGAAGCAACGACGATCCTGTGTGTGATGGTGTTGGACTACCTGATGCTTGGGTTACTTTGTCCATCACAGATTCACAGTTGGCTGCAGCCAATTATTTTGGCCGTCCATGAAATTCATTGGTGTTTCTATGGTCTCCAAAACAGGTGATTCTATTTTTTCCAAAGAGAAAGGTGTTTCTATGGGATGTATAAGTATGTAATGTCGTCGGTTCCATAATTCTTATCCTTAGTTTTGACTATGATTTTCTGTTATGCTATATAAAAATATAAAATATATGTTTATTAAGTAATTTTAAGATCAATCGATATATGATATCTTAGTGTCTTTAAACTAAATATTTTGAAAGTGATCGATGTTCGAGCTTCTAAAAGTTGAACCTTATTAACCTTGTCCAAAACGACCGGAGTTATGGAACTAGAGGGACTATTCTAATTTCATTTCCAATTGCATTATATCAAAATACCTCAGGGCCTACAAATAAGACAAGGACTCGATTCCATTTATTCTAGACTCTAGTTAGCTAAGCTTAGGGTTGATAAAAAGGATTAAGGTAAAGGCTCGCGAACTACTCGTGTTTGGCTAGTCTTAGATTCAGTGGGTATCGGCTCGAATTACAAATGAGCAAAGCTTGAGCTTAGGTTTGTTAAAAGAAGCCTTAAAGGTCTTGTTTGAAAATTATGCACGCTTCCGGAACATTAGCAGTTATGGTATTACCCATCGAAAAAAAATCTTAAGTCACTGCAATAGGCCATGCTGGTGCATGGGCAGCTCCCCGGCAACAAATGGCATCGGTGATCCTGTGGTGTGTAAACTGATCATCCTATGGTGTGTCAATCACGGTTGGCGTGCCTTTCAGTGCAAGAATCGTGTTCCCCTAATGTGTAAGAGGATACATAAAGATTAAAGAACCATATGGTTATCTAAAAAAGACCTCTAGGTATATTACGCCAAAACGTCCCATCTTTCCCGAAAACATGACTTGTTCTTGAAAGGTTTAATTAAGAAGATGCTAATCGTAAGCAAGAAGATTGTTTTCGAAGAAACAACAAGAAAATCTTATACATAAGAGTTATATAAGAATCGAAACAGTCTTTTATTCTCTTTCAATGAAATAAAAAAATCATTGAAATAATAAGACTAATACTTCAATTAAAAAAACAGCGGAGAAAGAATCACAATAAATGCAAACACAGTCAACTAATGATATTTTGGCCGGCCACATTTACACGAGCGATGAAACTCGTCTCCGTCCATCGTTTGGTGAGCTGGTTGGTGTATCAAACATTGACATATATACGTAGATTCCATAAGATTCCACTAGGCATCCGTACACCTGGGATGTCACAACTCCTCAGAAAGTAGCCTATCTCGTTGGCCATGTTTAGATTGAGGTTAAAAATCAGTATTTGGTAATGTAGCACTTTCGTTTGTATTTGATAATTATTATCCAATCATGGCCTAACTAGGCTCAAAAGATTCGTCTCGTAATTTACAATTAAACTGTGTAATTAGTTATTTTTTTATCTATATTTAATACTCTATGTATATGTTTAAAGATTTAATGTGATGAAGAGAAAGTGAAAAAACTTACAATTTAAACAAGGCTTTGTTTCGTAAAGCCTGACGGGGAGTTGGTCTTCTCAAATTTATCAAAAGTTCAATCACTGTGAATTTACCAGTGTTGACGAGCGGTCGAGGTGTGATGTGGTACTAGACTAGACTAGATGTGTTGTCAGCACTGTCGGCTGGTGCGGTGCAGGGGACGAGCGAGATGATGGATGTGAACTTGTGATCCTCCGGTTTGGTGCATACTTTATTTGCTTAATTTTTTTTAGCAACACTTTATTTGCTTAGTGCCTAGTGATTTTAGAGAGGTTCTAGAGCGACGCCAGCGCGATCGGACGCGTCCGGTCGATGATAACCGGTCTCAACCAGAGTCCGATCAACGCGCGCGCTTCAACGGTCGGGACGACCGGATGCATCCGATCAGGACGTGATCAGCGTCTGGTCAGTAGCAGAAAAGTGGGTTTCGTCCCCAACGACTACTTTCTCAGTAGGGCTTATAAATAAACCCCCAACCGGCCATTTGATTATAGTGGAGCTTATGAAACATACCAAGGGTGTTGATACACCATTTTAGTGATCTCCACTTGCATAGTGCCTAGTGATTCATTAGGTGATTAGCGTAGGTGCTTTGCGAAGTGCTTAGGTAGATTAGACCACCGCTTATGCGCTTGCTCTAGGTTTAAGCCTAGTGTTTAGTGAGGTTTGCATACCTCTTATCACTCGGTGCCTGCGCACACCATTGTTGTACATCGGAAGGGCTTATAATCTTGTGAGATCACACCAACCGTGTTTGTGCTATGGCCGCCACCGTGTATCGGAGGGAACAAGGCCCGCGACGGTTCGGCCGGAAGCTTGATAGTGAAGACGGTGGAGAGCAGTCCGGGAGAGGCTTGCCAGAAGACACACCGGAGACCCACTTGCGATGGGGAAGGCTCGGGGCTATCCACGGAGTTACCCGACCGGGAGTTTGGCCCTAACGAGGGATTCCTTGCGAGGGGCTCCAACGAGAACTAGGAGGAAGCTTGCGCGCTTCTCGATACCTCGGTAAAAATACCATAGTCGTCGACGGGAGTTTGGATATCTCTACCTTACTCTTTAGCTTCCGTATTTACATTGTTTGCATAACTCCTTTTATGGTAGAGATAGCAACACACTAGCAAAACTATAGTTGCACATTTAGATAGTTTATCTTTTTGCATAGGTTTTGCTAAGGATAGAGAAAGAGGCCATAGTTTAGAGTTAGAGTTTTAAGTTGCCTAATTTACCCCACTCTTAGGCGTCACGGTTCCCTTTCAATTGGTATTGGAGCCGGTTGGCTCAATTTGGACCTTTGGCTTCACCGCCATTGAGCCGACGCTATTTAGAGTGATTGGGATGGATACCTCTAGGCCTCCGCACTTTGACGGCACTAACTTCCCCTACTATAAAACTAGAATGGCTTGTCATCTTGAGGCGGTAGATTTGGGTGTTTGGAGAGTCACTCATGACGGGATGAAACCCATTAAGAATCCCGATAAACCCACAAAGAGTGAAGAAAAAGAAATTCATTTTAATGCTCGAGCTAAAAATTGCTTGTTTGAATCTTTTAGCATGGATGTGTTTAACCAAGTATTCACTTTAAATACGGCACATGAATTTTTTTTTAAAACTCCAAGAGCTCTATGATGGCACAACTAATGTCCGTGAGCAAAAATATTGTCTAGCTAAACAAAATTATGATTCCTTTAAAATAAATGATGATGAGCTTGTTCGTGATATGTATTCTCGTTTGAATCTAATTATCAATGAGCTCCATTCTAGATGATGCGGACATCGTGAGGAAGATCATCTCCGTGCTACCACAAAAGAAATATGCAAGCATCAGCACCATCCTTCACAACATGAAGGATTTGAGCACCATGACCCTGGCCATAGTCATTGGCAAGATAGTAGCATTTGAAATATCACGCAAGATGGGTCAAAAAGAAGCAAATTGATCAAGCAAAGGCAAAGCTCTCACATGTAGTGAGAAAAAGAAGATGAAGGGCAAGCAAGTTGAGACAAGCTCAAGCTCAAGTTCCTCAAGTGAAGATGAAGAAGAAGATGACGACGACGATGATGATTCTAGTGATGATGATCAATCTTCCTCCTCCACCTCCGACCTTGATGAAGAATCAATCAAACTTA